TAAAGGACTACTATTTCAGCAGAGTTTATTCTGGAGGTTGTAGACACCCAATATGATGGTGTTACTTTTGTTGGCTCTGTAAGCACCCAGTTTAATGGTGTTTAGGTCTCAGCTGCTTCTCTCTGTTGGCTACTAGCTACAGGTACTTTTATTTTGCTTGCTGCATATTTAATATACTGTCATTCAAAACCAAAAGCTCAACTAACTATGGGAGGTCACTCTTCTTGGGAGGCATCCACAGAGCTACACGTACCAGAGGTCTCTTCATTGTTGTGGTTTCCATTATGCCTTTTGTCTGGTGTTCTTTTTTCCAGTCTTTCCATTCTCCCTTTCTTCTTTCTCTGAAACCTTCCTGTGTGTTTTGTCTTGTGACCTTTGAATACAAAGCTCTACATTGTCATACTGGATCATTATAATAGTTATTTCTTTTTTTAAGAATTTACTGTTTCAAGCTAGAGATGTGGTCAGTGTTTAAGGGCATGCACTGTTCTTGCAGAAAACCCTAGTTAGGTTGCCAGAAACTATGTTAGGCAGCTCTCCTGTAACTTCAGTTCTAGGGGATCTGATGCCCTCTTCTGGCCACCTTAAGTAACAGAACACACATACTAGCACATACCTATATAAAGACAACTATGTACACTTAATTTTTAAGATTAAAATAAATATTCAAAAGGAAGACTATGTTTTAATTTGTTTCATATGTGTTCTTAGTGGTTTAGGGAACCATTCTATGCTGTTATTAAGCTCTTATCAAATAATTCCAGTAGCCTTGTTATCTGAATCCTGGCATCTCTCATCTGGCTCTTTCACCCAAAGTTGGGTTGTCCCTGTTTCTTGTCATGATGGGAAATTTTTCCATTATAATTTGAGTTTGTTATGAGTGATCAGATTTCATTTAAGCCTTCTATTTTTGGCTGGCAGATTTTTCTGATACCAATCAAGAAGAGAACACTGTGAAAGGAAGAAAAGCAAGGTTTTTTACTTATTCTAAATCTACACCTGTGGTGAAAGCTTGTCCATGGAATAATAGTCTCTATCGTTCCCATTTGAGCCACCTGGAGAGTGTGCTTCTAAACTTCCAAGTTTGGGTGAAAGTCTGGATTTCCCTGAAGTTTGACAGGGAATGAAACAGATAAGTATGTAGGAGGAAGACATTCCTGCTTCTTCACTTGGCTGCATGGGGTTGAGGAACGAGTGTGCTCCTTGATATGGCACAAGTGAAACCACCCAGTATACTCTTGGTTGGTGGGGGTCTGGATGAAGCTACAGATTTTTTTATTTTTAAATTTAAATTAGAAACAATGTTGCATTCTTGTAGATCTGTGAAGGTCTCACTAGCGCCAGATCTCTCCTCCAACTTATAATGGCTCCCTCTTTTATGGTATCTCCCATCCTTTTCTCCTGTATTCTTACTCTGGCTCAACCTTCACGCAAACTGGCATTAAGGCTACCTTAAATGCCCTCTCATGATAATGAGAATGATGACTACCTTATATGCCATCCTAGAACTCTCATCCAGTGGCTGATGGAGGCAGAGGCAGACACCCACAGCTCTGAACTAAATTGAACTCCTGGAACCCAGTTGCAAAGAGGAGTGATGACCAAAGGAATCAAGATCAGCCTGGTGAAATGCACAGAGGCAGCTGACCTAAATAAGAGGGAACACATGAATCCCAGACTGATGACTGAAGGGCCAGCACAGGACTGATCCAGACATCCCTCCCACTGAACCTGGGTGACAGAGAGGAGGCCTTGGCAATCTGTGGGACCTTAGAGAGTAGAGAAGTATTTATTCCTGGCATACAGATGGACTCTGGGAGCCCATACCATGTGGAGGGATGCTCTCTCAGCCAGGACACATGGGGAAGAACCTAGGCCCTTCCAGGAATGATGTGACAGACTCTGAAAATCCCTCATGGAAGCCCTTGCCCTCCTGGGGGAGCAGAGGGGAGATGGAGTGGGGGTGATGGGTTGAGAGGATTGGGGGTGGGGGAGGAAGGGATGGAGAGGGAACTAAGAGTGACATGTGTAAAAAGTTAAATTTTTAAAAAAGATGAAGCAAAAAATGAAAGAAACAAGGTTGCTTTACATGTCAATCCCAGGTCCCTCTCCCTTTCCCTCCTCTCACATCCTCCTACCCACTCCCCTAAACCCCTCCCTCAATCCCCACTCCTTTCCCCAGGGAGGGTAAGGCCCTCCATGGGGGTGTCCATAGTCTGCCATTTCATCCAAGGCAGAGCCTGGACCCTCCCCCAAGAGTCCAGACTGAGAGAACATCTCTCATTGTGGGATGGGCACACAAAGTCCATTTGTATGCCAGGGATAGGGATAAATACTGATCTACTACCCAAGACCCCATAGATTGTCTAGGCCTCCTCACTGACATTCATATTCAGGGGGTCTTAATCAGGGATAGGGTTTTTGTTGTTGCAGAATACCAAGAAATTCACAAAAGCATAACACCACCTGTGGGCCTGTCTTAATACATGACACTGTTAGAAATAGTTCCTATTCAAATCTCTACAGTAGTCACAGACATTGCCAGTGTGCTGCTGTTTCTAGTACCCAGCCTAGGAGAACTAATGCAAAAGAAAATGCAGGGCACCCACGGTCACAGACGTACTGGGGCACAGTTTCTGTCCTTGTCAACTTGAACCATCAGCTTCACACAGCTTAAAATCATTTGAGATGGAATCTCAACTGTGGGATGGCTGATATTAGATCGGCCCTCTAGGAGTATTGCCATGATTGTTCACTGACATAGAAGAGACCATCCAACTGTGAGTGGCACCATTCCCTGGACAGTTGGTCCTGGGCTGTATAAAAAAGTAAGTTGAACATGATCCTGTGAGCAAACCACTAACCAGGATTCCTTCATCCATCCTTACTGCTATACTTCTTGCCAGTGATTGAGTTCCTTGGTTAGGAGTAATTGCTGATGCAAATGGACAGTTTGAAATTTCCTGCTTTGCTGAGAAGTGTTCCAGACACATTGTGGCCTATGGACTGAAGATGAATGCCCCAACGTTACAGAGGAACTTTTGGTGACTGTCCAGGTAGCAAGATGTCTCTGTCAATCCTAGTGTTTATATATTATCCTTCTGTGGTCTTTGATGGAGTTGAGGACAGATAGTTATAGTTTTCCTTAGTATGATAAGAGATAAGCTACATATAGAACTTTGGACTCACAAGGATGGGATAGATGATACTTTCTTTAAATCTTGCTAAGTGTAATAGACAAAATATTGTAACTGTGTTCTTACTTGATAACTGTTCTTTTATATATAATTTGACTATGCTAAAGTTAAGACCTTTCTTTTTGTTTAGACAGAAGAGGAGATGATGTGGGAAGTCCTGTGATTATGTCAATAAAGCACTGTTGGCCAATAGGAATCTAGATAGGTGGTACTAGGAGTCCAGGAGACTCTGGGAAGGAGAAACACAGAGAGTCAAGATGTAACGCCATGGGGTAGGAAGCCCGGAAACCTCTCGGGTAAGAGAAATACTTAGATTAACAATTATGGGGTAATTACTTAAGTCAGAGCTAGCCAGTAAGAATCAAGCAAGGCCAACAGCTTCATAATTAATATAGCCTCCTGTGTGTTTATTTGGGACTGGTGCGGCACTAGAACCAGGCTGGCAGAAAGGCTTCTCTCAAAGAAAAAGGCTTCCATTTACAAGTAATGCTATGTAGAATATCTTAAATTTCTTCTAGAAGTTCCTGTGCCCTCTTCCTTCTATCAATAACGAGCTGTGTCCTGTGAGTGTGAGGTAAATAAACCCTTTCCTCCCTTAAGTTCATGTAGGTTAGAGTGTTTTATCACAGCTACAGGAGGCTGCCACCTTCTCCCCAACATTGAGAGTCCTCTTATGTTTGTTTTATACAGTGTCTATAAATGTGTCTCAGGTCAAAGTGGCTTATGTTATGTGTACAGATGTCCATATACATATAGAGCACATATACAAAATCCAAGGATTTGGAGACATGAACAAAAACAAGTAGAAAAAGAGGAACACTGAGTTCTGGGGCCACTGCTGAGTGGTTTGATGCAGCTGAGCTAGAGACAGAGAATAGAGATGACTGTAAGGAAATAGAGCAGTAAGGTTCTCTGTGGTAATGAAAATGCTGCAGACCTAGAGGAACTTGTGGTCATTTTGAAGGTAGCTCTTGTACCTTCTTGCATGAAATACATGGAGACTGAGCTGGTGGCAGACAGAGAGGTTTCCTAGAGACCCAGAGAACATGTAGAGACAGTGGAGATGGCTCATAGCATAAAGAATCTGCTCTGCAAGCATGAAGACCGGAGTTCAATCCCTGGTGCCTACATCAAAAGTTAAATATGGCAATACTCTGTAGTAGTTCCCTTGCTGGGGAGGTATACACAGGTGAGTCCCTGGAGTTCACATACCAAGCAGCCCAGCTGAACCAGTAAGCACAAGTTTCCAGTGTCTCAAAAAATGAAGGTGGGTGGCTCTTAAGGAATGGCATCCAAGGTTTGTCTTTGACTTATGCACACAGACTCATGTGCACTTACACACACACACACACACACACACACACACACACACACACACACACCCCTTTCCAAACATGGCATTGCTCAGGTCTCTGAACACTTAGTATGGCCATCAGAATTCAGTTGCACAGAGTCAGAATTGAGGTTTTCTATGTATGGCTTCTGTACTGGATCAAAAATGTCAATGATTTTCAAAAAGCCAATACTACCTTTCAGCTGATTACCATGCTTACCTGTGATCACTGCAGTTTATTTCATAATGATAAATTATGCAATTAGACATCCGCCACTATAGATATAAACACTACAGAAGCACTGATTATGGCTTTGTATTCCCTTGGTGCTACTGCAGAATCAATTATGCACTATTTTCAATATGACAAACTGCTAGAAAGATTGTGTACAATCCCCCCACCATTTTTGTATTGTTAATTTGCTAAGCAATTATCACCCCAGGCAAGACTCGCTGTTATGGAGACAGACCTTCTGGGATAACTGGAGACTAGGGGTGAGAAGTTTTTTCCAGACTCATCTTTGCTCCACTGTCCTGTAGTCTGTCTCCTTTGTCCCACCTGCTGGGTTGAAGAAAATGCACTATGTCATTTCTGTTTTGGAGAACAGGATGTGAATACAGTCAAAGCACTAAAAACCATGATTTCTTTTTCTAAGTCTTGAACAGAATGCTGCAGCTAGTCCATGCTTGCCATAGGATTGCTTTTATTATTTTACATATATTTGTTTAACCTTTTAAGATTTATTTTGATACTTTTAATCCCAGTCCCTGAAAGAGCTTTTCAGTAAATTCTCATCAGACCCTCCATGAACAGCAGAGGTATACAGAGGTAGATAGAGTCTGTGTTGGGGAAGTCCTGTTATTTGCCTGTGCATTTGTCAATAAAGTACTGTCTGGCCAATAGAAAACCTAGATAGGAGGGACTAGGAGTTGAGGAGGATTCTGGGAAGGGGAAACACAAGAGAGTCAACATGTGACGCCATGGGGGTAGGACGCCAGGAACTATTCTCCGGTAAGAAACATACTTAGATTAACAATTATGGGGTAATTACTTAAGGCAGAGCTAGCCAGTAAGAGACAAACAAGGCCAACAGCTTCATAATTAATATAGCCTCCTGTGTGTTTATTTGGGACTCATGCGGATCTAGAACCAGGCTGGCACGGCAGAGCCCAGGCGACTGGCGGGGGATAAACCAAAGCGGCTAGCAAAAGAAAAAGCTTCTCTTGACATAATGGTTGTCAGGAGTGGGATTGAATTTTCACGCAAAACAACAAAAGCTTTAAAGGAATTTTAGAAACAGAAGAACAGAGAGAAGCACAGATTTTGGTAGCAGCAGTTTTCTCAGGTGTGCTCTGTTTTGCCGCAACAAGCCGAGACTCACTGGCGTGCTTACTGGAGTCTTCCTGACTCGGCATTAAAAAATTAAAAAAAATCAGCCAGCAAGGTTGTTTTAAGAGACTCTACTAACAATTTAAAGGTGTGTACGTACAGCTGGAAGTGGCAGCTTTTGCTGGATGTCAGCATGGACTGAGGCAGTAAGCTGGAGTCATGCTTATGCCCGCCATCTTGAAACGGCAGTTTAAAACAGGCACGGTTTTACAGATAAGACACGTGGCCAGAAAAACATAAAGATTTACAGTAAAGTCAGACTTGGATAAAGAAAAACCTCTAAAGATTTACAGTGTGTTTAAAAATATACGTGAGATTGAGTGAGAAAATGAAACGACAAAGTGGTAATTAAATACAAAAGCCGGCATTGTGGTGGCGCACGCTGGTAGGATTTACTCCAGAGGCAGAGGCAGGCGGATTTCCAAAGAGAAACCCTGTCTCAGAGAAAAATAAATAAAAGTAAAATAAATAAAGTAATAATAGATAAATAAATAAGCCACGTAAAGATGGAAAATACACAGAGAGTCTGGATACTGTATGCTATTATGTTTTTCAGGTTTTTGATTGCTAAGGAAGGAACAGCTGCTAAAGTACACTTGATTATAAATGCTGCTGAATTAATTCAACTTATATCTTTTGAAAATGCCTTGACTTCAAAATTTAAGTATAAGGATATGTTACTCGGAAAAGGAGTTTTTATTTATGTTTCTACAGAAAATGAAAAGCAGAAGATTCCTTCCAGGCTTTTGTGGTTTGACGAACCAAGACCCCCGGAAGCAGTGGACCAGGTGTTCCAACAATCGAAACAGCGAAGATGATGCAGTCTTACAGACCCCGAAAATATGGACTTATACAGGTTTCTGAGTTTTGTCATGATCCCCATGGTATAAACAGCGCCCCCTTCCAGCATGAAGCAGTTTGGAATGAGCGACATCCCAATTCCCATCTTGTTTATAAATCTTTGTTTTCATTTAAATGGGTTGTTTATAATTGGCTAGTGATCACAGCCAATCTTTTTTAATGGTAAAAAGGGGAATTATGGTATGGGTATTGTTTTTCATTTATTGAGACAAAATCAAGGTCAATTTTGTGATGCTTATATTTCTCCTCTTGATTAAGTATTGTGCTTATACTGATCTTTTACAACGTAATGCATAATTGAATACAGACTATAGTTACTTATAATAGAATTTCTAGTTACATAAGTTAGGTTTCTAGATATACAGAAATATATTTGAGATGGACAGTCTTCAAACCTCTCAAAGACCTTCAGAACATGGCATTTAAAATGGTTTAGGGTTTGTCTTGACAATGAGAAATGTCTGCTCCTGGCAGCACCAATTACGTCTGAGAGGAAGATGGGCATCGAAGAAACTCGTTATAAAGTTTGCTTTCAACATGGCAAGATTAGCCATTTGGGCAAGAAACTGCTCTTGCCTAGATTGTTTGACTGTTGTTGTATCATCTGGACATGCAGGACCCACAGAAAAGTGACTACTGAACTCAGTCTTACAGGGTTCCTGCTTGATGAAGAGTCTACGAGACTTTCTGCAGGACAAAGAAAAATGACTGACAGACTGCCAACGCAGATGGACAGTTTGAAATTTCCTGCTTTGCTGAGAAGTGTTCCAGACACATTGTGGCCTATGGGCTGAAGATGGATGCCCCAACGTTACAGAGGAACTTCGGGTGACTGTCCAGGCAGTAAGATGTCTCTGTCAATCCTAGTGTTTATATATTATCCTTCTGTGGTCCTTGATGGAGTTGAAGACAGATAGTTATAATTATAGTTTTCCTTAGTTATGATAAAAGATAAGCTACATATAGGACTTTGGACTCACAAGGATGGGATGGATGATATTTTCTTTAAATCTTGCTAAAATATTGTAACTATGTTCTTACTTGATAACTGTTCTGTCATATACTATTTGACTATGTTAAAATTAAGACCTTTCTTTTGTTTAAACAGAAAAGAGGAGATGTTGGGGAAGTCCTGTTATTTGCCTGTGCATTTGTCAATAAAGTACTGTCTGGCCAATAGAAAACCTAGATAGGAGGGACTAGGAGTCGAGGAAGATTCTGGGAAGGGGAAACACAAGAGAGTCAACATGTGACGCCATGGGGGTAGGACGCCAGGAACTATTCTCCGGTAAGAAACATACTTAGATTAACAATTATGGGGTAATTACTTAAGGCAGAGCTAGCCAGTAAGAGACAAACAAGGCCAACAGCTTCATAATTAATATAGCCTCCTGTGTGTTTATTTGGGACTCATACGGATCTAGAACCAGGCTGGCGCGGCAGAGCCCAGGCGACTGGCGGGGGATAAACCAAAGCGGCTAGCAAAAGAAAAAGCTTCTCTTAACAGTCTGTGTCTGATATTTTCTTCTGTTAAAAGTAATCCCACAGCCAGGTGGTAGTGGCAAATGCCTTTAATCCCAGTATTCAGGAGGCAGAGGCAGGCAGATCTCTGTGAGTTTCAGACCAGCCAGGTCTACAAGAGTTAGTTCCAGGACAGCCTCCAAAGCCACAGAGAAACCCTGTCTCAAACCCTCTTCCCCCCCCAAAGAGTAACCCTACATCTCACATTATGCCAAAGCTAGGCCTTTGACACTGTGAGCAAGCTCAGCTCATAAGTACCTGCTATGCAGACATGGGAACCTGGTTTCAGATCTCTAGTACCTAGGTGAAAATTGGGTGCCATGCATCTGAAATCCTAGCACGTGGAGGCAGAGACAGGCAGAGCCTCAGAGTTTGCTGGTCAACCAGCCTAGCTGAATCCATGAGCTGAAAGGTGATCAAGGAAGACACCAGACAGGCATCTCTGGACTTCACATGCATTTTCATACATCTGCATGTACATAGCAATACAAACATGTACACAGAGACTTGTATATATACAGAGAGTGTGTGTGGCAGGAGAGAGAAGAGGAAGAAGTGAAATCAAATCTGTGCCTGTCTTGAAGAAGTTACACATGACTTTTTTATGGTTTATTGTATCCTAAATTTCTTGTTCCCTTACCTACTTGAGGAAACTAACAGAAGTAGTAAATAATCATAGTATATGCAGGTGGCTTATGATTAGAGGTGAATAGAGGATATATATGAGATTAAGCATTGAATATCCTGAATGCTGAATGGTTTTCAGATTATTATAAATTACTAGACCTACTGTGTGCCTCTCTATCTAAAAGCCTAGATATGGATTGGGGAAACAATCTGTAATATTTGCTGCTCATCTAAAATTCAAACCAAACGGAATGCCACCTGTGTTGTTTCTAATGAAAATAACATGGTTGTTAGGGTGATGGGCTATGAAATGAGTCAGGTGACTTCTGCAACTTTTGAACTTACTAAATCACTTGTGAGCCTCAGTTTATTCTTAAGGAAACCCACAAGACAATCTTTCACATACTTGTAGAGAATATTACATGTATGTATGTCTTGAGTGCCTAATAACACATAGTTTATGACAAGCCTCTCATTGGTCCTAACCTGTTTTCTTCTTTTGAACTCCAAAAAACACCAGACTACATAGATATATGCATGACTAATAATCAGTTCACTTATGACATGTGATACATGTATGATATTCTTACAGACATGTATGTACATAAAGCATACATGTGTGATTATTCTACCCAACAAAAACCTGGTGTAAATGCATGTAGAAGAGCAGGATGTATTACTCAAAGTGCCTGAGGATCATTGAAGCAGAAAAATCAAACTATGGAAATGCAAGCTATTATTATGCAGTTAGGTTTCATGATCCGTTGAGAAATAAAAAAATCTGGGCATAATTTAAGAGATATTTTCTTTGCTGGTAGCACAGCACAAATATATTTTCATTCTGACAGACTTTTTTCAAGTTCTGTGAACCCTGAACAACTCAAATAAATCCTGGCAGCCATACTCCCATATACAGAAACCCAAAAACACTGTTTTCTTACTCTTTTTCACCAATCCAATCAAATTGATCTTTTATCTTTTTCGTCCTTGCAGGAGCATGTGGGATTTCAGGAGAATATTTCATTTTGCTACCAGCAGAGACTCAGGAAGGCTGCCTCTTCACCACTGTCACTTCTATTGTTTAGTTACTGATGGTGCAGGGGACGGGATTGCACACAACCTAACCTCTAAGCTCCATCATCTCTATTTCCAAACTAGAA